GTTTGAGGCTCTAAACTCCAAATTGAAGTACATGGAGAGCCAAGCTGCTTCTACTTCTGCACCTAAACATCCCGGACAACTACCCGGGAAAGCTATTCAGAATCCAAGAGAGTATGCTAATGCAATTCAACTCCGCAGTGGTCGCGAGCTGCGTGCTCGACCTAACCAAGCTCCTGTCACTGAGGACAGTGAGATTCAAGGAGGGGAGGATTCTATTCAGAATGAAACTCCAGTAGAAGACACCACTAAGCTTGACCAGGATGCTGTACCTAGGGATCAAGCTAAGAGTCCCCAAATCGAAAAACCAACTGTTGATAAGGGTAAGAAGAAAGCTTTTGTTCCACCGCCCTACAAGCCCAAAATACCATTTCCAGGAAGATTCAAGAGGGATATCATTGAGAAGTACAGAGCCATGTTTGCTAAACACATCAAGGAGATTGAATTAAGGATGCCTCTCATTGATGCTTTCATGCTGATTCCGGATTCGCACAAGTACTTGAAGGACATGATAATGGAGAGAATTCAGGAAGTACAAGGAATGGTAGTGTTGAGCCATGAATGCAGTGCTATCATACAGAAGAAGATCATACCAAAGAAGCTTGGGGATCCCGGCTCATTTACTCTACCCTGTTCACTAGGCCCTTTGTTCTTCAACAAATGCCTATGTGATCTAGGTGCATCAGTCAGTTTGATGCCACTCTCAGTAGCAAGAAGACTCGGTTTCAACAAGTATAGGTCCTGCCAAATCCAACTAATCTTAGCCGACAGATCCGTAAGAGTCCCTCATGGTATGTTAGAGGATCTACCTGTCAGAATAGGAAGAGATCCCTACAGACTTCGTTGTTTTAGAAATGGATGAAGAGCCAAAGGACCCTCTCATACTAGGGAGACCTTTCTTAGCTACTGCTGGAGCTCTCATTGATGTCAGAAGAGGTAAGATCGACTTAAACCTCGGTGAAGATTTCAAGATGACATTCGACATCACTAAGACGATGAAGAAACCTACCATTGACGGACAAGTGTTCTACATAGAAGAAATGGATCGTTTAGCTGACGAACTGCTTGAAGAGCTTACTGAAGAAGACTACCTACAGAGTGCTCTTACCAAAGACGGAGAAGAGGGGTTCTTACACTTAGAGACATTGGGGTATAAGAAGCTGCTAGACTCCCGTAAAGAAGAAGAATCATCAGAATGCTTTGAGAAGTTAGAGGTGCCAGTTGCAGAAGTCAGTACAGTGGAAGAAGATGTTTCGGATCAGGCTCGACTTACCTACTCGACCAGACGTCGAGTAGGCCTTCCCAGTTCAGTTCCTGAAGAAGTCAAGGAAGCAGACTCGACCTGCAAGCTCGACGACACGTCGAGATGGCCTTCTCCTACCTCAGATGACTGGTCTGAGCTCAAAGCACCTAAGGTAGACCTCAAACCACTTCCGCAAGGTCTAAGGTACGCATTTCTCGGAACAAACTCTACTTACCCTGTGATCATAAATGCTGCATTGAATGATGATGAAGAGAACCTGCTGTTGTCCGAACTTAAAAAGTATAGAAGAGCAATTGGTTATTCATTATCTGATATAAGGGGAATCTCACCTAGTTTGTGCATGCATAGGATCCATCTCGAAAATGAATCTCATTCTAGCATTGAACCTAAAAGGAGATTGAATCCTAATCTGAAAGAAGTAGTTAAAAAGGAGATACTTAAACTATTGGAAGCGGGTGTAATCTACCCTATTTCAGATAGCACTTGGGTATCTCCAGTTCATTGTGTGCCTAAGAAAGGAGGTATGACTGTTATAAAGAATGATAAAGATGAATTAATCCCTACTAGGACTATAACAGGACATAGAATGTGCATTGATTATCGAAAGCTAAATGCTGCATCTAGAAAAGATCATTTTCCTTTACCATTTATTGATCAAATGCTTGAAAGGTTAGCTAATCACCAATACTACTGCTTTCTTGATGGATATAGTGGTTTCTTTCAAATACCAATTCACCCTAATGATCAAGAGAAAACCACTTTTACTTGCCCTTATGGAACCTTCGCTTATAGAAGAATGCCTTTCGGATTGTGTAATGCACCTGCTACTTTTCAGAGGTGTATGACTTCAATATTCTCGGATTTAATTGAGGAGACGGTGGAAGTCTTTATGGACGATTTCTCTGTCTATGGATCCTCTTTCTCCTCTTGTTTGTTAAATCTATGCAGGGTTCTAGCAAGGTGTGAGGAGACCAATCTAGTGCTGAACTGGGAGAAGTGTCACTTCATGGTCAGAGAGGGTATAGTATTGGGACACAAGATATCAGAGAAAGGGATTGAGGTTGATAAGGCCAAGATTGACGTCATGGTACAGTTGCAGCCTCCAAGAAACGTGAAGGATATCAGAAGTTTTCTTGGTCATGCCGGCTTTTACAGGAGATTCATCAAGGATTTCTCAAAGATTGCTAGACCACTTACTCGACTTCTCTGTAAAGAGACCGAATTCATCTTTGACGAAGAATGTATGAGAGCTTTCCACATGATTAAGGAAGCTCTAGTGTCTGCTCCAATCGTCCAAGCACCAAACTGGGATCATCCTTTTGAAATCATGTGTGATGCGTCAGACTATGCGGTTGGGGCTGTATTAGGCCAGAGAATCGACAAGAAACTTCACGTTATATACTACGCCAGCAGGACTCTAGATGAAGCCCAAGGAAGGTATGCAACAACGGAGAAGGAGCTTCTAGCTGTTGTATTTGCGTTTGAAAAGTTCAGGAGCTATTTGGTTGGATCAAAGGTCACTGTCTATACAGACCATGCTGCCCTGAGACATATATATGCCAAGAAGGACACTAAGCCGAGACTGTTAAGGTGGATACTGCTTCTGCAAGAGTTTGATATGGAAATAGTAGACAAGAAAGGGATTGAGAATGGTGCAGCTGACCATCTTTCAAGAATGAGAATGGAAGAAGCTACTCCGATAGACGATTCAATGCCTGAAGAGCAGCTGTTAGCTATCAAGAGTTACGAAATAGTGTACAACAAGAAGGAAATCGAAGTAGCTTGTGCTGTCAAGGAAGAAAAGTTTCCATGGTATGCTGACCTTGTGAATTATCTTATCTGTGGAGAGATCCCCAAATACCTTGATGCTTACCAGAAGAAGAAGTTCTTTAGAGACATCAACCACTACTACTGGATGAACCCTATTTGTATAAGAAGGGTACTGATGGCCTATTTAGAAGGTGTATTGCTGAAGAGGAAGTTCAAGGAGTGCTGGAACACTGTCATGGTTCTGCTTATGGCGGTCACTTTGCTACCTTCAAGACAGTACAGAAGGTTCTTCAAGCCGGCCTTTGGTGGCCTTCCATGTTTAAAGATGCATATGGATTCATTGCTAAATGTGATCCCTGCCAGAGAATGGGGAACATCACCAGGAGGAATGAAATGCCGCAGACCCCTATCCTAGAGGTAGAAGTCTTTGATGTGTGGGGAATTGATTTCATGGGACCATTCAATCCTGCTTCCTATGGTAATAAGTACATCCTAGTTGCTGTGGACTACGTCTCCAAATGGGTTGAGGCCATTGCATCTCCAACTAATGATCATAAGGTTGTCTTAAAGCTGTTTAAGAGCATCATATTCCCCAGATTTGGTATCCCTAAGGCTGTGATCAGTGATGGAGGTTCTCATTTTATCAACAAGGTCTTTGAGAGTCTGTTAAAGAAGCACGGTGTAAAACACAAGGTAGCTACTCCCTATCATCCTCAGACTAGCGGGCAAGTAGAAGTATCCAACCGTCAGATCAAGGCCATACTCGCCAGGGTTGTTGGTGTTTCAAAGAGAGACTGGTCTACCAAGTTAGATGATACACTTTGGGCATACCGGACTGCATACAAGACGCCAATAGGAAGGACACCATTTCAGATGCTGTACGGGAAGTCATGTCATCTTCCAGTTGAGGTAGAGTACAAAGCAATCTGGCTACTAAGTTGCTGAACTTGGATATCAAAGAAGCTCAAGAGAAGAGATCGGTTGACTTGCACGAACTTGAGGAAATAAGGCTTGAAGCTTATGAGAGTTCAAAGGTGTACAAGGAAAGAACTAAAGCTTTCCATGATAAGAAGATTTCACCAAAAGACTTCAAGGCTGGAGACCAAGTGTTACTGTTCAACTCCAGACTCAAGCTATTTCCGGGAAAGCTCAAATCAAGGTGGTCTGGTCCTTTCACTATTAAAGAAGTTTTACCATTTGGTGCGATATCGCTATTTGCTAAGGACGGGTCAGAGTTTAAGGTGAATGGTCAGAGGCTTAAGAAGTATCTCGCGGATAGCGTCATTCCTGAAGGATCTACAGTCCATCTTCAGGAACCTCAACTCGCCTAAAAGAGTAGTAAAGTCAAGCTTAGTGACTTTAAACAAGCTCACTTGGGAGGAATTCCCATGTTTATCTTTGTAAATAGCTCTTTATCTCTTGTTATTTTTGATGTTTTTTTTTAGTGTCTGTGATTCTCAGGATTTAATCTGTTGGAGTCAAGGAAATGGAAGAAGGCCAGACTCGACCAACCCTACTCGACGACAAGTCGAGCTAGCCCAATGAACCTACTCCAAGCCTTAAACGAAGCCCAACTCGATGCTAAGCCAAGCCCAACACCGCCAAGCCCATTAAATCGAGTCAACCTTCCTATATGTCAACTTTGGAGCCAAAATTCAAATTCAAAAGTGGTCAATGGTCCTACTCGACCCCACGTCGAGTCAGCCATGTCGAGACCACGCCCAACCATTCAAATTTCGAATTTGAATTCTAGATCCAACATTTGCTGCCCCCACACGCTCCTCACCTCTCCTTTTGTCTCCTTGGGTATCTTTAAAAGGGAAGAAGCACTCCTTACTCCTCTCATTCTCTCATTTCTTCAATTTCTCTCATTTCTCTCTTATAGCTCTAGTTCTCTCATTTCAACTTTGCTTTGAGTCTTTAAAGCTTTGCAACTTCCTAATCTTTGGTTTTAAACTCGATTTACACCATTTAATCGGTTTAAAATTCACTTCTTCTCCTTCTAAACTTCATTCTCTGCTCTTTTGATTCACTTGCTTTCTTTTCTCTACTCTTGCTGAAGGAAACACCATGGATCGTGATCAAGAACGAAAGAGGGTTTCTTCAAGACATGCTGCACGTGGTTTTGCTATTATCAACGAAAGGATTCCAGCCCCTGCTTGGACCGGTCATGCCAGTTTCGTGCGAGAAGATAGCCCCGATCGTGTAGAAAGAGAAATGGTGCCGAATCAAGCTGGTGATGAACCTACTCGACGTCACGTCGAGCAGGGACGTCGAGGAGGCTCCTCGAGCTCAAGAAATGATGATGCTGAACGTTTGGCCAGAAGGAGAAGAGAGATAAGCCGCGGGAAGAGGGTTGTGGAAGCGGATTTTGAACCCACCCCAGAAGAAGAGACTGTTGAAATGGAGGAAGAAGAAGCTGTTGAAATGGAGGAAGAGATCAAACCTGCTAAGCCAGCCAAAAGGGATAGAAAGAAGAGGAAACCTCCTACTCCTGAGGAGTACTATAGCTATCTCAAAACACTGGAGTTCGAAGGCACAAGACATCCTCATCGGGAAACGATGGCTGCTTTGGGAATTGCTGAAGATATAGACTACCTTGCTGAGACGTGCGGTTTAAAAACCTTCCTGGGGTATAGTTTTGAGGGATATCAAGAGGAGACCTACCAGCTCCTAGCCACTCTTGACGTACACTTCTACGCGGATGAACAAGAAGAAGAGAATGAGAGAGGTTTTGGATACATCACGTTCTCTGTCAAGGGAAGAGACCACTCACTAACGATCAGAGAGCTCAATCTCTTGTATGGATTCCCGAGCAAAGAGGATTGGTGCAAAATTTCGATAAGCGCGAACTCCAAGCATTCTGGAAGACGATCGCCGGACCAGGAGATTACATACCTTCGAAAAGCAAGAGTTCCTCTATTAGAAGCCCAGTGGTGAGGCATCTACACCAGTCCATTGCTAGCATGTTCTTTGCAAAGAAGATCACCGGTACCATGAGTGAAGGTGAACTGCAGCTTCTGGACTTAGCCCTCCTATTCACCTTAAGAAACACTAGAGATGGAGCAGAAATGGTGGGAGATAGAGGAAATGCTCCTCTAATAGCCGTGTTCTTGGATCATTTATTGGGATACAAGGAGTATGCTGCAACAATGCATAGGTCAGGGCGCAAAGGAAGCTTGACCATTGGCGGAATTCTGACACCAATTCTGGTAGCTGCGAATATAGACGTGGGAACAGGAGACTCTTCCCCAACTTGGATCGATATGGCGTACCTAAGGAAGAAGGGCTACCTTGATAAAACAGCTCCTGAAGGTGTGTTGCTCTATGTATTCAACCACCCTGAAGAAGGAACTTCTAGGCTGCTTCTACCATGCACGAATCACACCACGATTAGGGCTGGTGAGAACATCGACTTTCTGCCCACCATCCTTCATTCTCTACGATTCACAAGTCGCCCCTGCCTCTCCACCGCCTCAAGCAATGCACGAGGACGACCAGGAGCAAACCCAAGACGCTCCTGATGATTATGCACCAGAGCGGTTCTTCTTCGAGGAATACAAAGCTCCTAGGCAGACCAAAGGCGAGAGAGAAGCTCACAAGCGCATAGGACTCCTGCAAGGATTGGGAAAGTTTCAAGGGAAGGCAATGCGAGGATTGTCCAAGAAGGTAGACTCATTGACCACCATGGTGAAGAAGATGGCGCTTCAGATCACAGACCTCCAGAAGAAGTCCAAGCATTCTCCATCATCATCAGAAGAGAGAGGTACTTTGAGAAGAAGCGGTTCCTCAAGCATGGCTCCACGACACGCGGTAAGGGCTGATCCTCCAAGATATTCATCCTTTGAACCACGCCAGAGGGAAAGCCAAGAGGAGTCTACACCACTCCCCAAACGTTCGCAAAGCCATCGCAGGCAAGCGGAAGGTTCAGAAGCCAAGTCCAGAGGCAGACTCGACCATGGAGCTCGATGACACGTCGAGTACAGCACGTCGAGCCTGCTCCAGAGCCAACTAATCCTCCCTACATGCAGACAACACCAACGTCGAGCAGCCTCTTCCAGAGTCAAGCACAGCTCCTTCTTACACGCAGGAGAGCATGGATGAGTTCCTCGACACCTACTTCGGATAAAACCAAAGTATCACTCATCCCCCTAAACCATTGTATTATTTCATTGCATTAGTTTGCTTTTCTGTTTCGTTGTTTGTTTCTCTTGAGCTCTCTTCTGAATTTTTATTACACAAGGGACTGTGTAATTTAAGTTTGGGGGAGGGTCCAAGAAGTATTTGATGTTGTGTTCTGTTTTCTTATTGCATAATCATCTAAGGCATAGAAAAACCAAAAAAATTTGAAAAATTTCGAAAATTGTAATACAAAAGAGAGTGTTCATGTAGTTCGCATTGCCATTTTAAGACTGTTTTAGTATGCTTTCATTTAGGACTGTTGCATCATGCATTTGCATTGGAGATTATGATGATTATAACCTTGTAAATATGCTTATTCACTAAGTAGAACTCAGTGCCCATGGTTGTTAGTTCTCTAATGCATAATCGACTGAACTTGAAGTAAGACCGCACCATCTTTTGAATTCAACGCTTGATTTTCTTGTTCTTAGTCGAATCTCGCTTTGATCTGATGCCATTCCCTATCAATTTGAACTTGAATTTTGACTTATAATTATCATGCTGTGCATTGTGCTATGAACTCATGGATACCTTAAAATACTTGGACTTTCTTTTACCTTTTGATCACTCTTGCTAGTCCAAGTAGCTGACTCCCATCTTTGGAGCAGTTATTCCCTACCCTTAACCTAACCTTCTTTCAAGCCATTTATCATTTGTGTGTGAATGTGAGGCCTTATTTCGATTGAGCTTGGTAGAAAGTGTTAGGTCTGTAACGACAAGGATAGTATCTCATGTAGTTCTGGTTCACGTTATCTGGACCAGATAGGACTAGGTGGGTGCTTAATTCTGGGTTTGGGTTGTGTTTAAAAGAAAGAAAAGGTTGTGTTCATCATTGAAAGAAAAGAAAAGGGAAAAGAGTTCTTAGGAGAAGTAGCTAAAGTAAGAAAAGTCTAGTAAAGGATTTGGGAATGTTAAAGTAAAGAAAAGGGTTCTGTAATAGCTTAAAGAGAATGGGGTAAAAAGCCTTATGTTATAAGAAGAAAGAAAAGGGAACCCTAGTTGTTAAAGTATCCTAATCCGCTAGACAGAGCAAAGTAAGAAAGCTTCTCCTAGGATAGAAAAGCAAAGAAAAGAAAGGATGGATGTGAGTAAAGGTCTGTAAATGCTTTGAATGCAAAAGGGTAGAGTTAAGTTCATGTTCTGGGATTAGAAATAGGACCTCCATTTGGGTTGATATTGGTTACATTCTGGGTAGATGGGGTCTTATCCTTGTATGCATAACTTGATACTCACCTTTAGCATTCTACTAAAGCTCAATCATTCTTGAGAGATCCCCTGTTGCGATTTAAACCAGATCTTTAAGGGACCATCTTTGTCTCTAGACCTCTACCCTTAAGCCAAATGTGTTCATATCCACTGCATAGTATGATTCACGGTTCCTACTTAATCAATGTTAAAGGGAATGTGCTGATTTGAATGCTTGAATTGATTAAGGCAGAGGTTAGGTTGAGATGTGAAGGAGATGGCTAATGTTTTTAAGTAGGGATCAGTCAACCTTGCATTCTAGAATTAGCAACCTGGACATTGAATTCACTTACTCTATATGCATGTTTTGGTTCTGAGTCTCCACCTTCAAACCTCTTCTCCAGCTTAGTTCTATTTGTTTGCTTGAGGGCAAGCAAGAGCTAAGTTTGGGGGAGTTGATATCTCTATATTTTACCACTTTTAAGCTTACTTTTCTCATACATTTAGCTAAGTTTTATCACTCTTTCATTGCATCCAGAGTCCTTTTCATATCATTTTCATCACTTAGTACGATTTGCATTGCATGGCATAGCATGTTGCATATTGGATGAGTTTCAGGTGCTTTGGAGCTTATTTTGGGACTTAATGGAGCAAGGAGGAGCCACACAACCTTGGAGCTAGACTTGGGATCGAGTTGGAGAGGAATGAAGCCAATCAAGAGCATCCAGAACCAGACTCGACGTCATGCCTCGATGACACGTCGAGTAGGACGCCAGGAAGCCGACTGGGAGCAGACTCGACCACGCGGACTCGACTACACGTCGAGTTGGACGTCAAGGCGCCACCTTTGAAGATCACACCGACTCGACGTGGCAGGCTCGACGTCAAGTCGAGTTGGTCTCCGCCGACTCTCTATTTTGTCCTGTAGCTAATTAGGGCAACCTAGTATTTCCTATAAATAGGGGCTCACCCTATTATCCAGCGGATATTATTTTTACCCAGCAGATATTCCACTGTTCTCTCAAAAACCCTAGATTTTGTAATCGTTTTTCCTGTTGATCCTTTGAGTTTTTGAATTTCATTTCTTCATCAAAGTTGTAGATCTCTCTCTTATCTATAACATACTTGCTTTTTAATGATTTCTGGGTTTATGCAATTTTCTGGGTTTTTATGCATGATGTTCTTCAGTGTTCTTGAGTAGTGGATTAGGGTTCTTGAGGATGGGTTAGATTAGGTGTGGAATCTTAGTATATTTAGGTGGTTAAGTGTAGAATTGCTTGATTTCCCTTCTGGTTTAGTAGATCTTAATGCTATTTCTTCTCTGATCAATTGGAAATAGATCTCAGACATTTCCACACCCAAAAGGTGTTTGATGAAATGTCTGAACAAACTTTTCCAGAGATTTGCATACTCTAGCCCAAGAGATTGGATGTTTAGAATGCTTATTGACTAGATTAGATTGAATCATAATGCCTGCTAGGTTATATTTCTTCAATGAGAATTGAGTATGAAAGTGATTTAGCTTGAGAATCTCTGTCACGAGAGTGGATTGATTTGTATTTGAATCTATTGTCTAGGGATAGCTTGATTGAGTTTGTTAACCACCTAGATAGACTAAGGAGACTGCTATAATCGATTATCCCATTCCTCAGGACCTTTTATCTCTATTGATTGCTTTAAATCTCGTTTCTGTTAGCTTTTGTGTTCTACTCGACCTGTTAGGCCTAGAGCGTCTCTCTGCATTGTTAGGTTGTTAGTTTCTTTTCCAAAGCTTATGCATGATAGTTTCTGGTCTTTAGTTCACTTCTTGCTCTTGTTTACTTGCTGTTTAGTTCTCTTTCTTATGCTTTCGAATTCGGTATTTGCATGTTAAATCGGTTGCTTAGGATCAATAGAAACACACAAAACCCCTTCATAATTGGCTTGACTCATTTGCTTTCTGTGCATATCTTGAATGCTTGCAGTCACACTGAGATTGGATTGATAAACCTAATATACTACAATGGCATGTGTATTAGGGATTGATACTTGTTAGAGTAAAAACCTACTATCAGTTTAGAAGCTCCAAAACCGAAAACTCATAGGACTTCGGCCATAACCACAAAGCTTTGAGAGGCAATCAGAAGCTTGGTTAGTGTTTTTAGAGTCAAATATGACTAGATCACGTGTGTATGATTGGGTATAACACCTAGAACCGCAACCCGATCCCGTAAGCTAAAGTAGTGTTTTTTCCGTTTAGAAGCTCCAAAACCAAAACTCATAGGACTTCGGCCATAACCACAAAGCTTTGAGAGGCAATAAGAAGCTTAGTTAGTGTTTTTGGAGTCAAATATGACTAGATCACGTGTGTATGATTGGGTATAAGAACTAGAACCGCAACCGGATCCCGTAAGCTAAAGTAGTGTTTTTCCGTTTAGAAAGCTCCAAAACCGAAAACTCATAGGACTTCGGCCATAACCACAAAGCTTTGAGAGGCAATAAGAAGCTTGGTTAGTGTTTTTGGAGTCAAATATGACTAGATCACGTGTGTATGATTGGGTATAAGAACCTAGAACCGCAACCGGATCCCGTAAGCTAAAGTAGTGTTTTTCTGTTTAGAAGCTCCAAAACCGAAAACTCATAGGACTTCTGCCATAACCACAAAGCTTTGAGAGGCAATAAGAAGCTTAGTTAGTGTTTTTGGAGTCAAATATGGCTAGATCACGTGTGTATGATTGAGTATAACAACTAGAACCGCAACCGGATTCCCGTAAGCTAAAGTAGTGTTTTTCCGTTTAGAAGCTCCAAAACCGAAAACTCATAGGACTTCGGCCATACCCACAAAGCTTTGAGAGGCAATAAGAAGCTTGGTTTGTGTTTTTGGTAGTCAAATATGACTAGATCTCGTGTGTTTGATTGGTATAAGAACTAGAACCGCAACCGGATCCCGGAAGCTAAAGTAGTGTTTTTCCGTTTAGAAGCTCCAAAACCGAAAACTCATAGGACTTCGGCCATAACCACAAAGCTTTGAGAGGCAATAAGAAGCTTGGTTAGTGTTTTTAGAGTCAAATATGACTAGATCACGTGTGTATGATTGGGTATAACACCTAGAACCGCAACCGGATCCCGTAAGCTAAAGTAGTGTTTTTTCCGTTTAGAAGCTCCAAAACCAAAAACTCATAGGACTTCGGCCATAACCACAAAGCTTTGAGAGGCAATAAGAAGCTTGGTTAGTGTTTTTGGAGTCAAATATGACTAGATCACGTGTGTATGATTGAGTATAACACCTAGAACCGCAACCGATCCCGTAAGCTAAAGTAGTGTTTTTCTGTTTAGAAGCTCCAAAACCGAAAACTCATAGGACTTCTGCCATAACCACAAAGCTTTGAGAGGCAATAAGAAGCTTAGTTAGTGTTTTTGGAGTCAAATATGGCTAGATCACGTGTGTATGATTGAGTATAACACCTAGATCCGCAACCGGATCCCGTAAGCTAAAGTAGTGTTTTTCCGTTTAGAAGCTCCAAAACCAAAAACTCATAGGACTTCGGCCATAACCACAAAGCTTTGAGAGGCAATAAGAAGCTTGGTTAGTGTTTTTGGAGTCAAATATGACTAGATCACGTGTGTATGATTGGGTATAACACCTAG